GCCAGCAGATCAGTCTGGGTTTTCTCGGGGTTGCTGCGATCCAGCCCCACACCCAGTGAGTCAGTGTAATGGTCCTGCACATTCTTCAGCTGCTCGCTCCGCTCCTGGAGCTCATCTTTCAGCTGTGCGATTTGCTTCTTCAGGCTGTTGATATAATTGCGGTGCTGCTCTTCTCGCTCCTGCAGCATAGCCTGGTAACCCTCCTTGCCTGTGGGGCTGTTGGCCCAAGGGAATGCCAGCTGTTCATCATCTCCTTTTGGTGTACAGGCCAACATGTAGACAAGGGATACAGCACAGCAGACAGCAACAAGCAGGCCAACCAACCGAGGGAGCCATGCAGTCAACCCTCGCCGAAACATCGTCTCTCAGGGAACTACCTAGAGTATGTCAGGACCTACATCACTTTGTATGTCCAAGTGCAGCAGCTCCTGTGCTTGAAGTCATCTTAAATAGATGCATGTGTGCACACAAGTTGGTTTACCACCTTCGTCCTAACATGCATGTCTTCATTGGATATTGGGCAGAGTCTTGCGCACTCTTGACGGTACAAAAAGCTGAACTATGAAGCAGAAGCAGTGAGCCAAGTGATACCTGCCACTCCTGTTTATAACTCCCATTGTAACCTGATCAGCTCGTGCCTGTTTGCAGAGAGTGACCTGAAAGACATATGACAAAGACCAGTTACACAAACACACACACACTACAAAATCTGGTCAGTGGTTTTGGAGACAAGGGTTTCAAGGCTTTGTGCACATGTAGTGGCATTTGCTGTTGTCCCTTTCAGGCCTGTCTAAAGCAGCTCAGAATGTTGTAAAGTACTTCCACTTTGGATAGTGCTAAAGCTGAGAGAACACAAGGCCCTCATCCAGGAAACCCTATACGTATATGCTTAGCTTTGAACACATGAATGGTCCCATTGATTATGAACAGCTGACCTGAGCTTAGAACCCTACTTCCATACATCCACAGCAGTCAGCTCATAGCTAGATCTCCAAAACAGCAGAGTGCCATATTTTCCAGAGAGCTTAGCTCTCATGTACCAACCTAATTATGATGTTTAAAAAGGCATGGCACCCAGCAGTTCCCACTGAGATTCTTACAGGAAAGTTTCCCAAGACTAGAGCAAGCTGGGCGTTAAGCTCTTGAAAATCTAGTCCCATCTGAGGATGTCTTTTGAATGCCAATCCCTGTAACAGGTCTTCATGACAAGTTGCATGTTGTATTTGTAACTGGAGGGCAATAAGCAGATCTGGGTGGAATTTTCACAAGTGCCCATGCAATGTAGTCCCATTGAAAGTCAACAGGTGTTTTGCTTGTAACCAACTTCATTTCTTTCAGTACACCCATGCCATATAGCTAATGATGCCCCAGCATTTTCATTCTAAGCCCTTGCTTTCAGTTGCTGATAATTTTAAGAAACTTCCACCACTTCAACATACATTGTGATGTTTTCCATGCCTGGTCTCTTTCTAAGGCTGAAAAATATAGGTTTGAGCCAGTGGCATAACTAGGACAGGGGACTAGGGCAGCAGGCTGGAGCACCAACTTTGGGGACAGGGGAAAGAAAAAACTAGCTGCTGCTGCAGCCACTTGATCATGACTGTGATCCTGGCAGCAGTGGCAACTAGAAGTCATCATCTCCCCTGTGTGTGGTGTCTGCTTCAGGAACCTGGTTGTGTTCTTACGCTCTGGTTTGAGCAAAATGGTTCGGTCATTTTTGAAAACAAGAAAAGTGAAACACAAACACATGTGTGCACGTCTATTGTTATGGTTAAAAAAATATTGTGAATTCTTATAACAGGCAGAGTAAGTCAGAAATAGGAACTGATAAGAACTGTAGAAAAGATGTGTCTTTCAGTGTTTCTCTAAGACCAGTTTTTTAATTTGAAAATGGAAGTGCAAGCAGGAGTGAGATAGATAGATATATAGATATATATAGATATATAAATTTAAACAGCAGGACTTCTTAACAGCAGACAGAGAGTGAAGAAATGTTCCTTGTTCTGCCACAGAACTGCTGTGTGGTCATGGGCACATCACTTCTCTTTGTACCTCTAGTCCCCCTTCCATTTACTGTCAGTCTTGCCTAAACATAGAATAAAACTCTTTGGAATAGAGGCTCTCTCTTACAAAGTATCTGTTAGATGCCTTTCATAATGAAAATACAAGCCCAAGTCAGACCCACAGACAGAATAATAATCTATCACTCAAAGTTTTGAATCAAAGTTGTTTTGCATTATGCACAGCTGATTTACAAATCAAGGGACTGATGCCATTGGAAATACTATGTGCAGGGTTCAGTCCCTGTGGCTAAAACTGTTCTGAGAGCTTCACATAGCATTTTCAATCACGTGACTTTCAAGGCTAGTTTCATTTTTGCTAATTTGATAGTGTCTAAAGAAAGCTGTCCCTGTTCATATATATATATATCTTTGGTGAGGGGGAGCAGGGGGAAGTCTTTGAACTGCTCAGTGTTGATCTTCCTGAGCTCCTTTTGAAGTAACTCTATCATCAATTGCATCAGAAGTAAAGTTAGGCCAGTGCTGAGCTGTATTAAAAATTCCACTCTGAATCTGCATTGTTAAACTCTTGAAGATTATGAAATCAAAGTGAGCCTTAATACCACTCCCTTGTGTATATGTGTTCTGATAGAGCCTTTGATTATAAGTAGCTGGATCAGTCTTCCTATTTATCCCACCCTCCCTTCAGTAGGTGGGCTGAAGTGGTGAAGGTGTCTCACTACAGCTCCAGAGGCAGGAGTTTCAGCCTTTGTTTGGATTCACTCCAAGGGCTGGCCTCAAGTAACTGTAAATGGGTTTGGAGTCATTCAGGCTGAGGACATCATTCCTTTGTGTGCTTTTGGCTAAACGAACTGGCACATCTAAACCTTTCTAGCCCACAAAGCCACCTGGGCTTAGATAAATATATTTTCTCTGTGAGAACTGCTCTCCTCTCAGGGCCATTTCTATGTCTTTGTTCAAAGCCCACTGAATTCCCTGAGACTCCTCATATGAACTTCCACAGGCTTCTGGATGTCCGTCTCTCTAATGTGGTCCCTGGTACTCAATACTGCAGCAGCTCTCTGCTGAAGTGGCAGGACCTTTAATGTTGATTAATATCTTAGCAGCCTGTGATGGCACTAAGAATGAGGGTTTGTTTAGGGAGGAGGAGTTGAGGGGGCTAGGGAAGGCTATAAAAATCCAGCCTCACTTTTTCAAAGTGACACTGAACTGCTGCTAAAATATTTATAATATTCCCCAGAAAAAGCCAGTGGTTTCAATGGAGAATTGTTGCAGTAGAAAAAAATATTCAGAGCAGCAGGAAGAGAGGGATGAGAAGGGAGCTTGCAGTTCAAAAGTGTCGTTGCCTTTACTCAATAACCTCTTCTCAAGGCTGCCTTACCCAGCTAGTCTTCAACTGGCCATAATCATCTTGTTTAATTGCCTTCTCTTCACCTCCCCTGAAAATGCACGTACTGTTCTCAGTGCTGCCAGGATCATAACACCTCTTCAGTGTTTTCACATTTGCCAACTGCCTACATCGTCAATCTGCCTTTTATACTGTGAAAGGCTGTTGCATAGATGCCTCTTATGGATGCCCCATGAAAGCTGGTCCCCTGAAATGCAACGGAGCTTTTCAAGACATGGAAATTAATCTAGAACGTAGCTGGCAACCGGACTGCAAGAAGGCAGTGTAGTGTATAGTGAGATGAGATCAGGAAGTGGTAGGATGTCCTATAGAAAACACTGCTGTGTATATATGCTTCACTTCACACAATTAGTCCATTGACTGCATTAGCAGAGGCTGAACATAACTGAAAGGAGTAGTTGTGCCAGCAGAGTAAAACTTGAAATTGCAACTCAATGGCTTAAATAAATACAGTTTTATTTCTGAAAACAGCATTAGGCTCAGACTTTGGTTAAAGATCTGACCTTCAGAGATGAGCACGTGTGTGTGTGTGTGTGTGTGTGTGTGTGTGTGTGTGTGTGTGTGTGTGTGTGTGTGTGTGTGTGTGTGTGTGTGCGTGCGTGCTTGTGTATGCTGGTTTAGGGTTACCTTGTTTTCCTCATCCCCCTTGCTTTCTAATTGTTAGTTTCATTTGTCTATCCTTCTCCAAATACACCTCAACGACACTGAATAATCTGAACTACTTCATTCTTTGAACCAGCACAGCAATAACAAGAGAAAAATGGATGCTGCAGGAATTCCAGGTACTTACGCGGTATCATAACAGCTGGGGGTGGATCAGCAAGTGAGTGCTTGTGGCTGTGATTTCTTGCCTACAACATGTCACATGCAACAGCTTCCTTCACTAGCTCAGCTGCTAGAAAAGCCCCACTAAATTGGTTTAGGGTGACAAACTTTATGCTTTGATACATTGCTTATGTAGCTTGCTTCTGTCTGATGTAGCCATGGAAAGTGCAATGCCTCGCTCACTGCCTCTGTAGCAGGATGCTGTGGACTTGTTTCAGAAAAGACAGGACTTTGGGCCATGAATCCTCTCATGTGCTCCAGAAAAGAAAATCTGCTCATTACTTGTCCCCAGCACCCGCTCTAGAGCCCTCAGTCTCTAACAGGTCTAAAAGCAGACACTAGAGGGTGAATCTGGAGCAGCCCCATGAACAATTTTCCACTTCTGAAGTAGACTTGAGGAGCAGGGCATACTCTGTCTCAGACTTCCTAAGACCAGCTGCTGACAGGGTATAGATAAGTCCTATCTTATGGGCCATAACCCTTGGGCTTAGAGCAGGCTATGTGGACCAGCTGGTGGCTTCTGGGTGCTCTCCAGGAAGTGAGGTTAGTAACAGATTATGAAATGTGCTGAATCTCCACCTAGGGAAACATATTGCTTACCCAAAATACAACTGCTATGCTTAAGGAAACAACAAAGGAACTCAGAGGAACCATCCTGGGTTAATGGGAGCAGCAATATCCCCAGTCCATGATGGCACACACACTTGGCCAGTAAGAACACATAGGGATGTTAGTATTGATGCTCCTGCCTTTTGCATGTGGACATATGTAAGAAATAGACAAAAAATATATGTAAGAAACATTTAAGAGAAGCTGGTTACACAATACCCCTACGGTCCAGATTTCTTTCCAGGTGCCACCATTGAATGATTCCTTCTGTGCTAGCAGTACTTTTAGCATGGACGACTGGTGCCTCCCGAGTTTGGGGGGGCACCAGATCACCGACAGTGGGGAGGGTCCCCCAGCGACCGATCGCCAGCCAGGGATGGGGGGGAGTCCCCCAGCTGTTGATTGCCAAGCCAGCCACGAAACCAGAGGTACACTTCCGGTTTCACAGCTGGCACTTCCAGGGGGTGCATGGCCGATCTCAGGAGCTGCACGTGCACCCGCATGCACCCACTGCACATTGCCAATGTTTTCTAGCATATGGTTAGTGGTTAGCAAAGACTACCAAATGCTGTAGCACAGACACCTCAGTGCTCAGGGCGCAAATGCTAGCCAACTTGGAGAAGGCAAGGCCTGATACAGTGGGTCTACAGATCCAGTGATGGGGTAGCACAAAGGGCATCTAAAGCAGAAACAGGGATAAGGTTTCTTGAAAACCACTGAATTCTGGTGAAAGGCAAGGGGTCTGCTGTAAGCTATGGCAGGAGACATTTGAATCCATTTATGGGTCTCTCACATCAGACTCTGGCAGGGACACAAGTTTTTTGAATGGATGTGGTCAGGTAGCCCCTATGTCCTGAAGAGAGTCTTGCTCTAATGGGTTTCTGATATGGAGCTTTCCACAAAAGGTTTTAAATGCAGCACAAAGTCACAGAACTTAGGCATGGAGAGGATATGTAAAATGATCTAGCTGAGCATGCTATACTCCTCAGAGCCTCAAAAATCACTTTTGTGTCTTCTCAGTCTTACCTTGCCCTCCCCTGTATTCACAGATTTAGTGAAGGGCCCACCTGGGCCATGTGCAGTAAAGTGCTGCTCACCTAGAACTGGGCCAGTAAATATGACTGGGCCTTGGGCCAGTGACTCAGGACGGGTATCTTGGGGAAGCACATCTACTGAATTCTACTAGAAATGAATTTCCTGTGCTGTGACTTATCTGGATCAACCCTTGCAATAGAAGTGTAACTTTCATGTCCCATGAGTCCTTCTACTGGCTCATGGGCTAGGGATAGATATTACACATAACCTGGCTTAAGTGATCAAAGACTGGTTTAAATATTTAACAGAACAGATGTTCTGTTCTGCGTCTAACACAGGAGGTATGTAGTCCCACTAAGGGAGATGCCTTACTTGACTTGGTGCTGGCCACAGGAAAGGACTTGGTGGGGGATCTACAGGTACAAGGTAACCTAGGGGATAGTGACCACCAGTTGATAGGATTCACTATCTGGCGTAAAGTGGGAAAGACAACTAGTAGGGCAGTAGTGCTAGCCTTCCAGAAGGCCAACTTCAATGAGCTCAGGAAATTGGTTAGGGTGGGACTGGTCCCTTCTACCAGGTCCCTTCCAACCCTAGGGATCTATAAAATCTATGAAATCTATGTTTGGTGCAAATTAAACCCGTTTGAAAATGGCTGAAACAGTGTGAGATAAGCCTGGTTGAATGTAGTATCAGACTTAACTGATTTGGCTCAAACTGGTTTATGCAATGTCTGTCCCAGACCCTTTGCTGGTTTAAGTTAAACCAGACTCCCCCAGCATCCTGGCATGCTGCCTGGGCTGGGCTCTCTGCTCCACAACAGAGCTGGCCCCTCCACTCTGCTCCCTGGCTGGAGCTCTGGCAGAGACTGCAGGCATCTGCCTGGCTGCCCCCTGCTCCCCCGCCCCTCCCCTCACCACTTCCTGCTAAGTAGTGATTCCCCCATCCCCTCTGCCTTACACAGACACCTTTCAGCATTAGCTAGCAAACTACATGCTGGCTACGGGTCCTGTGGCAGACAGGACAAAGGCAGAATCAACAGGTAGCTGGTAATGTCCCTCTGTTGTTTTCTTAATGGGGTGATAAACACTGTGTTATCAATTTCCTGCTGGAGGGGTCAGCGGGGGGGGGGGAACCCCTCCCTAATCAGAGCGTCCTGCCAGGGCCTGGCCACATGCCCCTCAGCTCAGTACCGTAGAAGGGAAGTGGGGGCTGCTCTAGCATCCCCCAGCTTCTAGTCTGAGCCACTGCAGGCATGTGCCTGCATTTTTGGGATATCTGAGTGGTTACAAACTGATTCAGCCTAGCCAGGTTAGACTAACCTGCAAAGATTGAATCAATTCAGGCTCAGGGTTTTTGAATCTCTGTCTCTAGCCATGAAGTTTAGACATTTTATCTGAATTGCTCACTTTAGAGTATTGTTCTTGTTCTTTTCTTTCGGGCAAGATAGCAAAATCCTTACACACTTTGCTGAGCTGTTGCATAATGTGTTGTGCCACTGAGATCACTGCTGTGAGTAATTACTAATCAGCTGGAGTAAGAGCTCACCATCTGGCCCTCCATGAGTGAGGCTCAGTGTGCAGCACTTAGATCCATTCAATTCAGAATTAAACATATTCCATCTACTCCTGCTTAGACATGTAGGGCCATAGCCTCAGCTATTGTAAATAAAAGTGGCTCCATTGATTGGCACTATGGTGATTTGTACCAGCTGATCTGTGTTATCCTATACACAAGAACTGAAATCTCTATTTTTCCATAAGCTGCCATAAAAATGCCTGCGTTTCACAGCACTCGGTATTTAATTGCACTAAGTAGCATTAGTCTATTTGTAGCAGGAAGCATTAATGCAACACCACCAATTGCGTGGTAGTCAATGGAAATGTGGATGTTCTATATCAATTTTAATAACTTATTGATGCAGGGACATTTTTGCTTTTACTGCATTCTGTCAGCCTAAGTCAGAAGAACGTTGTTTAAAACCAATTTACTGGGTGTTTTCCATATTCTTTAATGGACTCTGTCTGCCATTCTCAGAGTTGGGTGCCACTGTGCTCTAAATATAGGTTCAGATTATGTTGCGCTTACACACAATGATTAAAACCTTACGCTGTGAATCATCCCACCAAAATCAGCGGGTGCATTTGTGGTGTAAGGCACTATTCAAAGCAAGAAAGGGTGGTGAAATCTGGGTCACAGTTTGTACCAGAGGAAATATGGGTAATCCATTCCAATCACTACCGCTTTCCAGCATCTGGACTTATAAAAGTATCTAAAAGCTACAAGGCATTTGTCTCTGGAGGTTAAAAAAATTTAGCAAGCCATGTACTAGGCTGTAAATACCAAAGTCAGGAATCAGAGAAATAAAAACAAAGTGTGAGCTGGATGCTGTACCCTCGGCTTCTTGGTGGGGAGGGCAGCAAAGTGTGAGTGAAGAGCTCTTGTACCTATGAAAGAGAGGGTGGTAGGAACCACAGTTTGGCAGCATGGTCCTGTTGTCATTAAAGGGCAGAGGGCATCTTCCACACAAAAAACATAGGGATGAGGCTGTGTGGGGTGGAAATCAGTTGAAGCTTTGTTGCTTTTCCTCTACAGCACACAGATCTCCCAGTGAAAATGTGTGTGGTGCTCACAGGTGACTTGAAGACTCGGAGCAAACAGAAGATGCATGAGATGTCCCTCCAAAGAAAGAGGCTGGGTGTTGTCTGATTCTGTATGATCTTGTCAGCAGATATACTGGCTGTATGAGCCATAACCCCACTCCCTATGCCTGTACAATGGCAGATTCCTTTCTCCTACAATCCTGCCAATGGCAAGTCTCAATTTGGGGGGCATGGCATAGGTTCCTCTTTCTTTACACCATGAGCTCTCTGTGGCCAGGATCACTTTTTCTTCCATGTGTGCAATGCCTGGCACTAAGGGGCCCAGATGAGCTTCCCTAGGCATTTCCACAACACAAATAATAGCATATCTAGATTAAAGTAGCATGGTGGCTTATGTTATCCCTCCAAAGCTGTCAAGTCCACCGAAAGGGAAGCATTGTCAATGAAACTATATCTATTCCACAAAAGATATGATGACATGTGAAACCTTCTCTGACACAGGGGCAGGGGAGTATGGACTCACAGCATCTGTGATACAGAGACTTGTTAAATATTTTAACAGGTTTGGTGATGCCATCCATACAGTAGCTGCAGCCTCGTCACAACTCAGCGCTGGGTGGCTGTGTTACTGCTGCAAGTAACTGCTGCCAGTCTCTTGCTTTAGCTCACAGAACCTGTTGAGATCCTTTCAAAAAGGCTTGGGATAACAGCAGCTATGATTAATTTATGTGTGGGCGTGTGAAATATCTCTACCAATGAGCAGCTCATATCAGAATCTCTAAGTAAGAGCTTTGTAAGACCATAGCTGTGTCTTCCTCCCTCCTCCCTTACACACACACAAGCTAATTTTACTCACACAAAACTCAAAAGGTCTAACACCGAAAAAGGTCCTGATCCTTTGAGTGTCTGGCGTTTTGCGTAAACTTTTAAAATCTCCTAACCTACTGCAGAGGTCCTATGTACAACCCTAATATTTAAAATGTTAAGGGCTAGATTCTGGTACTTCTTGGTCATGGTGAACAGCACTTTGCTCTCCTAATTTCAGTGGGGCAGTTTGTGGAGGAAAGCACTATTCAGCATGAGTAATGAGACTGGAATCTGGTGTAACAGGAGGAAAAAGCAGAAAATACCTCCACTGGGTGTGAGAAACCTTCCCAGGCTTCTCCTTGCTGACTGATCATAGAGAGTAATAATCCTTGAAGAGAATCCTGTCTGTCTTGTCTGATTTATCTAAATTGTCTGTCCAAAGGTGAGGGATAAGAATTTGAACAGAAGGGAAATAAAGAAGAAATCCCACTGATAAATTTACTGGACCCTCACTCTTCTCCTGCAGATACCCTTTATAGAAAGATTCCTCATACAAAGCTTTTCTGTATCAACCTGCTTATTAATGGTCTCAACATCACTTCACCTTCTTGAACTAGTTCCCATGAAATGGCTCCTGTTTGTCTTCATTACAAAGCAAACACTGGTGCAGAGGCAGTTGGCTAGATCCTTAGCTGGTGTAAACCAGCACAACTCCACTGATGTCACTGAACTACAGATTTACACTGACTGAGGGATCATATCACTTGCCCTTCTGCATTAGCTATAAAAGTCCCACATGCATGTTTGAAACTATAGAATAAGAGTTTTAGTTTAGATAACATGAATACATAGCCTAGACTTCTTGTCATAAAATGCAAAAAAAGAAATAGCTTCCACATTTTTAACTGCTTTCCCAGTCATTCCAGGCCTTTTTTTTGTCTGACTCAAAGCAATAACATAAATAAATCTGTTTTCTATCACCAATTTGTTTTTCAGAGACATTTGTTCCTGCTAGCAAATTGCTCTATTTGCAAAGCAGTAGAACATGTTAAACAAGGTGCACAAAGTTATTATAAAGACCTATGCATAAGAATATTGATCTCTTAGTACCATGCAGCCAATAGATACTACTAATCATCTGCACAACTAAAACTCTGCCATGCATGGTTAGGAATTAACTCAGCACCTAAATGCAGGTGCAGGATTATTATGAAAATAAATTATCCAGAACCAAAATATAATATACTACATAGTATGCTTTTGGAGAAAAGGTAGGAACTTACTGCTTAAAATCTTCTTGCTCTTTTAATCTTGGGTTCCAGATTTCTTCACCAATAGAAAATCTCATAATTATGTGTTGCCCTCTGTAACCCTAAAGAGAGAGAGAAGCCTGTTGTTACATATGTGTGTTAAAATGCTCTGTAACTGACTCCTCCCACAGAAAGACAATTACATTGTTCTCTTCCTCTAAGCAAAAGTTATAGTGGAGTCTCTCTCAAATAAGTTGTAATAAATATTTAAATGTGGTGAAACCCCACAAGAGTATCATTAGCCATGGAAATATTATTGCAGGTTTTTGTTCCACTGATGGAATATGGAAGTAAAAGGTACTGGTTTTAAATTTAGCATAATGCTTTCTAATTCTGAGAGAGAGTCAGTGTAGAAAACGTTTTGTTTTCGTACACCAGTATGCTTTATATGCTTGAGCTACAAATGTAATTGGTTTCCCATTAGTGAGATAGGTCTGTAACTTTATCTAGACTGCATTGTCCGCTGCGTAGTTGAAGATCAGCTGATAGTTCTGAGGCCATGAGAGCACTGTGGTCAAAGTGTACATTTAGATGCAGGCCAAATCGTTATTAAAGCAATTCTCTGCCACGCTGCACAGCAGCAGAGAACAAGAGGCAATTTGAAAGTGTGCTGCCCATTATGGGTGACCTTCAGTAAACAAGTGGCAGCTATATTAAATATCAAAGCCATGTTTCGCACTCATTGTTATTATTTCTCTTACAGAACTGCCACCTCACATGTGATTATTGAAGAAGACAATCCCTACTCCAAAAGAGCATATAATCAGGGTAGATATTTGTTTATAGCTTTTGCTCCATCCAGATAAACCAGCGTTGGAATGCTGTAAGCTAAATAAGTCTTAAAGTCAAGAATAAGTTTACCCTCCCCACCCCAAATAAATAAACCCAAAACATTTCTGGGTACAAGACTTAAACTCTAGCTGGAATCTACCAAACTTAAGGAGTCCCATTTTGCTTCTGGGTGTCATACCTGGTCCCACCTGTCTCCCTCCTACACACCAATAATTTCAACACATCTGTTACTTCACAAAATGAGCTATTATTTGATCTTAATGACATGCCAAAACAACTCCTCCCACACCAGAACACTTTTGTTAGTAAAAGAATCAGCTGTTTTCCACCCATCAACCCACAAACAATTGGATAATTTACCCTGCCTTCTCCCTGATTTTAGAATAACTACCTCTCAACATCTGTACTAGTCAGGATGAATTGTTTTTTCTGACACCTGTGCTTTCACCCTTCATTCACACTAGCTCTGCTAAACTCTCTGAAATTCAGTGCCCTCGACATATGCATCCCACAGGTCTCAACACAGTTTTTAGTCCTGCTGTTCCTGGGAGACTTCCAATAGGTAAATGTCATAAGATACCTCCAGAGGAACTCTGGAAGCCGAGGGTCAAATTTCCACTACTCTCTGGGAAACCCCCATAATTTGTCAAGGGGTGTTCCCAGGACTCACCTGGCACTTGCATCATTTCTACGGTATGTCTGCAACACAAAACACTAATCAAACTACAAAAGTGAGGGTTCACTCAGCTTTCTCCCTATAGTAAGCTGCAAGCAGCTGAAACCCAATATGGCTCCCTGAGCCACAAAGAGAAGTTGAAACCTACTGAATCCTCAGTTTCCAGAGATAGGTCTTTTAGCTTAAACAGTAAATATTTTTGTTTTAAGATCCAGAGATGTTATGTTCAATCCCTGTTGTCAACAAACACAATCTTGCATACAATTTGTGAACAGGCTTTTCAGGAAGCTTCAGCCACTTCATTCATTCTCTTTTTGCCATACAGTGTGTGAAATCGCATATTCTACCCAACCCCAAGGCAAAGATCCATACAACATAGAACAAGTGGGTATGGTTTCCTCTGAGGTGCCATGCTTCATATAATGCCCATTTCTGACAAACAACCTCATGCATGCAGCTCTGAGATACAGGCTGTTCCAAAATTGTTCTGAGCCATTATTTATCATGTTACTTTTCACAATCTGTATTTTGACTGACCTGGAATTTAGCTAAATAGTTATGCTGGATGTGTTCCAAGTAAATTAATAAACCCTCCTTTGCTGCCAATTCTAGCAATGAGCACTTTGCTGAGCTGCTGCAGTTTGAGATGTCTGATTGCCATCTATCTTGGAAAACTGCAGAGTCAATCCCTTTGATTTGATTTCATCTGGGGATCAATACACAGGTGCCATCTCAACTTCATGCACTTGCCAAAAAGGGGGAACTTAAATCCAAGGCCAATGAACCTTCCGCAAATGGGAGGGCAATGGTATTCTTATTGCAATGGCAGCTGTGACTCTAAACTGACCAAAAATTCTGCATTTTAGAGATGACTTTTGTCATTAGCAAACAGCATGTGCCCATCTTGTAGGCTGTTCTTGTTCCATTAAAGAACAATACATTGTTACTTACTTCCTTTTGGAACCTAAATCAGGTATTCCTCCTTTACAAAGCTAAACCAGGTTTAAGAACAAAGCCAGCTACATAGGTGTTTCACATTATGTGGATGGTCATTGTGGACAGAGCTGGGATATAGATGTTTTAAAAACAACAAAAATCTTTGTGCTTCTAATGGTTAAGCTTTTGGGCATATTTTTGGGCATATTTTTACTCTAGTTTTCAATGAGATGGGGTATCTCTACCGTGCAAATAGGACATGCACACCCGTTGTCCTTTTATTGCCTCTGACAAATATTCTGTAGTTTTGTTCTACTCTATTCTCCTCTACAACTTGATTCCACATAGGAAAAGGCCAGGTGAACTCTCTCAAGGACAGGAATGACTTCCTCTTTAAGACTGAGGTGTGTTGGTAAATCAGGACTGTCACCAATGGAAGAACCTAAAACCCATGTGGGGAAACTGTTTGTTATTCATAGTACGTCCTCAATATATGTCTTTATGGTGTGTAGTTTTTATACTAATAAATTAGAATTATTACTAAAATTGCATGCACTGAGTCAGTGAGTTTTATGCCAGCTCTAGGGATCCTGCCAACTCCACATTATCTGGTCTTTAAGGGTCTGTGTCAGAACATAGATAAAATCTGGAATCCTAGACATACCTCTAAGGCCAGGGCTTGTGCCCTGATTCACTAAAGTACTTATGCATGCATATAATTTTAATTAGGGAATATTTCCCTGAACTTCAATGCCTTTTGTGGTAGAGGACAAGCTACTCAAATATAGGACTATTATATATCACAGCCTTTCTCCACACTTGGATGAACAAGGTACGTATGAAAATGCATTTCATAAGCTAAGCCCCAAAACAGGAAAAACTAACTACTGCAGTGTGCTGTGGGGAATGTCACAAACATGTGCTACTGTTTTATTTATAGTTGGTTTAGATAAGTATCAGATGACAATCAATTATGTGCCATCATATCAGTATTTCAGCTGGAGTGGCAAAAAAAAAAGAGCTATGAAAGGCAAGTGCCTTGAAAAATGCTGTTATGTCTTTTTGCTTTATTGCTTAGCTTAGCTTTAAAAATCCTGTTTGAAAACACTCCATGAAGAGCCATGAGAAAAGTTACGATGGTGGTACTGGGCTGGGTTCTCCAGGCCTTTTAAACTGGCTGAAGATTTTTTTCCAAAAAATTCCCACTGTGTTGTGAGAAGCTCTGCCATGGCAAGGCTGGCACATGCAGTTAAGGAGTCTCCTGTGCCATCTGCCTCCCCACTCTGTTCTCACTGTATGCAGGAGCGGCAGTACTGAGGAGACACATGGCATAATGGAGCTTTGTGCCCTGCCTGAGTTAGAGAAGACTGCCCGTTACTCTAGTTTCCACTTGGGCTAGGCAGTTTGGCATCAAGGAGCTGCAGCTGGCTACCTAAGTTTACCACTGTCCACTGCATAGAGTGAAGAACTGAAATGGAAAAATGTAGAGAGCGCCTGTCAAACACACTGTTAATTCTAAAGCCAGGAGTACCCAGAGCTAAATAGCAAGGAATGCAGCCGGGATAAAAGAAGAATAACTCTATCTCTGGGTATGAGGCAAATAGCATTTTTCAAGAAAGGGCTAGGTAGGCCCTGATGGGTCTAAAGGTTAGTTACAACTGAAATTACCAAATCAACCAATTCTCATTCTTCTGGCCATGAGCTAATCGTACCCCAAAATCGGGAGGTAATTTCCCTGTTTTGCAATATTGACACAGATTGCACAAGTGTTCACCCTCCTGTCAAATATCTGGAACTTGCGGTTGTCAAAGTTCAGGCCCCAGGGTCTGTGGCTGCCATGCCATTTTGGTATGTCAGTATTGACTAAGGGGAGGAAGAGGACAATCTATGCTAACTGCAGCATCCTCATTCCTTTGATAGATTTCCCCTGGCTATGAAATCACAAACCACGCTGGTCCACTGCTCCATGTTTAATTTGTGGATAAGTTTGTCACTATTCTGGGTAGTTCAAAAAAGATTACAACAATAAATCTTGAGCAAAGCCTTTAAAAACTCTGATTTTTAGGAAGCCTCCGTTACTTTAGCTCAATAGTTTTTTTCTTTAGGGTTCTAATTCCCAGAGATCTGGTTAACTTCTGTAGTCTTTTTCTAAGGCTCACCTAACAATTAAATCTTGTCTTTAACACTTTCATGGCAATGTGGAACCAAGCAACCTCTTCCTAGCAGTTGCAGAAAGTAAAAGGTAAACCACAGGGGTTGCTGAAGTACTTTTCTCAGGCAAGGTTAGCATAGAGCAAAAAGGAAAGGCCTCTGCATTCAAGACTCTACAGTTTGTCCTTTTCATTTGTTGATTCAAAAGGTATTCTTGTTTTTACATAAATACAGGAACCTGTTCCTTCAAATACACATGACTACACTACAAAGATAAAGGAAATATTTTACTGCTAACTTTCAAGAAGGAACATGATTAGGGAGTAAAGATTTCAGAAGTATTTAAATAAGGAGTAGAACTACTCATAATTGGAATTTCCATACCACAAGAAATCCCTGCATTTTAAATGCATTTTTGTTCTGAATTAAGATGACAACAAACAAACAAAAGCTAATACATCCTGCAAAACATTTTCTTTTAATAAAAAGGTCAGTTTGAATCAACTGGACTTTTTTGCTTCATTAAAATGGATATATTTCATCTTTATTTGCTGGAATGTTACCATTTGTATTACACAACACATTTGAAACTGAAAGTTGATTTTAAGTGAAGATACAGCCTCATCTTCTCTTTAGCTAAAATGGAATGTTTCAAGCTCACTGAAACACTTTGTTTTGGCTTTTTTCCCCAAAATGAAATCTCGTCAAACTATGTGTCTCTCCATGAAAAATACAAATTTTGGGAGAAATGGCATATTTCCAATGGAGAGCATTTTTGACCACCTCCAGTTAGCAGCCAAAATCCCATTATTAGAAATGACTCAGACAGGGAAGAGTTTAAGTATCTTTGAAAGTCAATGGGATTTCGACTCCTAAGTAACTATGTCACATCTGAAATGGGATTTAAGCTCCTAAGAAACTTATGTGCTTTTGAAAATGTTATCACAGATCAAATATATATAACGTACTATGCTAATCCTGGCCATTGCTTTGCGTTCCCTGGACTGGTAGTGCCCTTGTTCCTCCTGCTCTCGTCCTGTGCCCATTGTAGGTTTGTAGTAAAGATACCAAGTTTCTTATGGAATGTAAGATAGTGGCTGGGGTGTGGATGGGTGGGAAACCAGTGGACGTTCTTGTGGACCCATTTGGGTAGCTGTTTATTACACAGCTTCCTGTGGGCTCAGGAGAATGGACTCAAAAGCCCACATGGTCCCTTGCCATGCAATGGTCCCAATCTATAATCACATAAATGACTTACATTTTAGCTGAGTACCAAGAATTTGCAATTCCCTAACTTACTGTCATCTGTCAGTCTCCAGACTACAAAAAAAAATCTAATAACTGCAGTTTTCACAATGAATTTTAAAAAGCTGCTGAAATTGTCAGTTATTCAGTGGGGAAACTGTATTAAACCTCAGTAGTTCACCCGGATGTCACCTTGCTTCACTAATCCAGACCTCCTTCCTCAAAGAAAAAAGGCCAATTTCCTTCTTCCAGTAATGACTGGAATGTATTTTTACCATGTGAAAGAGGACAAGTACATTCTGCCATCAAGTCCACATTTCCTGAAAGGTTTCTATGAGTGAAGCATCTTACAACTTTAAATTATGAACAGAAGTGGATGCATAAGCAATACATTGCAAACACACACTCAAAAACCAAGCCAAAGTGCCATGGGATTTATAATTCCACTATAAGAGAACTGGCTTGGTTCAATTTAGCAATGCAGCCTCAAAGTGGACACAAATCCAACTTTTTTAGGACACTTATCCTTCTAAAAGAGCCAGTTTCCTGGAATAAAATTCATATGCTTAATATTTCCAAAATTAAAACATATAGGGGAAAAAGCATAAAAATAAGTACTACCTACCGGAATTGTTGAAGGAAAGAGATTTCTTTATAAGGTGGAGCATCGTGCTTGCAAGTCTTTGTTTCTGTTCATATGGAAACCTGCCTGCAAATGACAGCATGTTTTTTATTTAACGAGGATTGGCTAGAATGTGTGCTGGCACGGCTGTGTAAGCGAACGGAGTCAGAAAAGAAGTGATTGCCACTATGCCAAAATAGATGTTTTCCCTTCTTTAATACAGTTTTTCTGCAGCATATAAAATGATACCATTTCCAAAGCAAACTCATGACAGCTTAAGTCAGAAAAAAACCCAGCTAAATAGCTGCTCCCTTTTCAACTCTGTTCAAGAATGAATCTGTTCTTTGGTCTGCCTGCTTTTTAAACTACCAGCAAAAACTATGACCTTATTCTATGGCCTGTAAAAAAACACATATTCTCATATTTGTATTCATTCTCAGGAGGGTGCTTGCTAGGGCTGTGCTGCATTTTATTGATTACAAGGACAACCATTTAGAGCTCTTCCTTGCATTTGTGAGCACTTATTCCTGCAGTTAGTCCCATTAGTTTCAGTAGCACTGCCTGAATAACTGCTCAGCTAATAAGTAAATGTGAATAAGGGTGAGTAAGGGCTCCACAGTCTGGATCCTAGATTTTATCAATGTGTCAGTATTTCTGAGGGTATCATTGTGGCGAACAGAGGGAAGAGCTGTATTATTTGTTATGGTGATATGTACCTCAGTTTACCTGTTTGATGGTATTCTACCTACCCAAAGCTGTTGGGAAGAGCAAGCAGAGAATGAAATAATGACCAAAGATGACCATAGAGAAAATACTTCAAGGATCCTTAAGAGAACAGTGAGAATGCTATTTATTGGAAAGCACCTATGAGCCTAGCTGAAGCCAGGCTTACAGGCTTATTTTTCCCGGACTGGGGGCTTAAGATCAAAAGGATACTGAACATTAAAAAATCCTGCCTAAACAGGAGGGGGGAGGGCTAGTGGTCAGCAGCTGCTTGGAGACAGATGCTATGGAAGAAGAAATGAAACAACAGCATGCAGCCAGCCCAGAAGTAGGAACGGAAAAGGTATAGATAAGGCTGGGGCTTGTAGGCCTTTTGCCTTTGAACCCCTTTCTTTGCCTGCTGCATACCTCTGTGTAAATAAAACCCACTTTGCTTTGAAAGACCCATTTTATGTCAATCAGCCACAGGTCTAAAGCGAATTTTCTTGCAGGGACCAAACTCAGCTGGATCTGCTTGTAGAGCCATAAAGGCAAAACAAGGGATCTGCCTGAATCTATGGACAGGTGCTATATTTGAAGCAAGGATGCAGATGTACATGCCTGATGAGTAGTTGGAAAAAAGTTTTTTTGCAAGCTTTCGGGCGTAATCACCCTTCTTTCTTTCATTGCTCATGCCTGGCCTCACAGACCCACTTACCTGTCTCACAGACCCCTGCCCTTGTTTATTTACTTTGTTGCT